ATATATATATATATATATATATATATATATATATATATTTATGTAAGCTGTAGAAGCAATCGATCTACTGCTGCATGTAATATATGTTGTCATCATATATTACATTGAAACTTCTTTGTAATAAATTACTGCAAGACGCTTATTGCTGCTGAATATTAAGTAAGAGAAGAGAAACCGGAATAGACAAGTAAATGCTCGTGATGCAGGTATCGATGCTCGCTGTCGGTCTCAACTGCATGCATCAGTGTAGTAAACGTTATTTAATATTTAATATTTAAATTTAAATTCGTCTTTAAAGGAATATTGAGAACATCTGAGCTAAAATGCATTGATTGACTCTGCAGTTGAGGTGTATGTACACCGCGAGCGACGGTAAAGGCGCCTGGCCTCTGCTGCGTGGTTGAGGGAAGTTGGGTATAAAATATAATTTGAAGCATCTTAAAGGAAACATTGTTTCTTTTATTAAACAAAAGATAATTGTTAATTTAATTATTTCTTCACTTCTACTTCCCTGCATGCAGAAGCTGCCCTTCATCTCGTGATTAACAGACCGCTGTCAGCTCCGCTGCGGGAAGCAGACTGACGTGCTCGAGGGTAACAGAGGGAAACTGCAAAAAAATGCAGATTTTGGTGTTTTTAAAATGAAAACTACTGCTATTAATGAAGAATAATTCTGCAAAAAATTGCAGAAAAAGAGTATATGCAGCTTGGAGAGCTGCATGTACACCTCAGCATCGCAGTAGCCGCTGGTGTTGAATCGGCTCACGATCTTCATCGGCTTTCTTGCATTTTTCATTCTTTTTTGTTTATTTTATTCATTAGAAAGCAGGTTTTTGAGTTTATTTATCACTGTTTATTGTAGGAAAGACGTTTCTTCTTTTTTTAAAACGTATACCTTCACAGCGGGCGGTGTAGTTGCACATCATCATCTCCGGATCTCTCCCCCCTTCCATTGGTTTTCCTCGTTCTTTTTCATCTTTCTTTTTTTCTTTGACTGTGTTTTTCTCGTTTATTTCTTCTTGCGTCTCTGCGGAAATGAGGAGGAGTGTTAGGAGGTGGGCTCGGCGGCTATGGCTGCAGAGCGCAGCAGCTGGTGCTGCCTTTGCGTTATGTATAACGCCGTTCTTCCAGAGCAGCATGATGGGTTTATTGGATATATCTGCATATTCTTTTGCAGAAGCAACAGCAGTAGGAGGAGGAGTAGGAGAGTATTCTTTTCTTGAGGAGCAAATGAGCACTCCTATGAAAGGTGTAATAGGGCCTGGTTCTGGGATGGATTTGTTGAGCTCAGCTGGACATACACCCCGTCGTCTGTCTGTCTCTGCAGCAATGATTAACTTCGCTACACAAGTTGCAACAAGTCAAGAGATTCGGCAGCTAATGGGTCAGTGGACTGGTATGATGGGAGAGATATTTAAGGGGCCTGATACGAGTGAGTCTTCAATACCTTTTTACTGGAAGCTGCCTGAGTGTGTAATGACAGTTGATTTTGCATCAGTTGCAGATGTAGCTGCAGCAGATGCAGCAAAGATATCTTTATTTTATACCCCTAGTCATAATGCTATAGTTCTAACTTTCGTAGAAGAAGCAGCAGAATGGATCCAGCTATTTAAGGGGTCTCATCAGCGCATGCAATTTCTGTATACACCTGCTGAGTGTATGGTTGATGAGAATACAACATATTCACCCTTCTGTACAAAGCCTACTGGGAGATGCTTCATGACGCGATTAGATATACACTTAACAAGAATAACACGTCAGCTTATGTCAACTTTAAAACCCCTTTCAGCAGGAGACTTCATAAAGCATTTAATGGATGAAGAAAACTTTCTTTATGATGATGCAGCAGATGTGTTAGAAGCACCTACAACACCGGGAAGGCTTCTATTTGAACCTTTAAACTGCATTATGCATGCAAGAGTACAAGCAATTAGCCCCCAGCATATATTTTTATATTTTAACCCTTATGATCATTCTCTTCGTGTTGATGCTCAAAACACTGATCAGTCTTGGTATAGAAGAAAAGTAATTATCCCCTTAGGATGTGGAGGCAAGAAAGAAGAAGATTTTACAGCTGCAGTGTATCTACAGTCCGATGGATATTATAAAGTTGTTATTCAAGCTGTTATTGCAAGAGGTACAGACTTAGAAAGAAAAGATGAAGATACACTTCAGATTCCTTTACTTAAAGAAGTAAGGCCTACAGATGAATTACGATATGGTGAGCACGACCCCAAGGATATGTATCCAAATGATAATTATATCCCTTTAGAGACTATGCTTGTTGGACATCCTTTCTAGTTTATATCTCTTCTTTTTCTTCTTTCACGCATGTATGCATGCATACTTGCATGCATGCATGCGTGTTGGTTTGCTTCTGTTGTTGCTGCTGCTGCTGCTGCTGCTGCGGCGGCGGCGGAAGAACCGATTATTGCTGCTTCCAGCAGCAGCAAAAAATGCATGCAAAAGAAAGGAGGAGAGATTAAAAACTTAAATTATTAAATCAACTAACAGTCTGGCAGTGTTTTGCTGTTGTTGTGCTCTTCCTTCTTTCTTATCTTCGGGTTTTTCTTGTTGTCTTCTTTCTTTGCTTTTCTTTCTTCTTTTTTTGTCTTTATATATATATATATATCTCTTTATCTCTCTCTCTCTCTCTCTCTCTCTCTTTCTTTCTTTCTTTCTTTCTTCTTCTCTCTCTCTCTTGTTTTTTTCAGTCTCTTCTTTATATATTTGTCTCTCCGTTGTTTGGTTCTTTTTCTCTGTTTTGTTTCTCTCTCTTCGTCCGTTTGGTGGTTGAGAGGGAGATGCGTTTGTGTTTATGTATTGCCTTCTGTATTTTCTTCTTATTATCTCCTCGCTTCTCTTGCAGCTGCATGCAGCCCCACAACACCAATTAGGTGGGGGCAGCAGTTTATCAAACTGCAGCTGTTTGGGTTGTACATACACCTGAGCAACTAACTTAAACTGTCTGCAGTTTAGCAGACGAAAACTTTTTTCTCTGCTTTCTTCTGTTTTTTTATTGTTGCTGTTCGGGTGTATTGGCAGCTAAGGCATTAAATCATTACTGTTTATTATTAGTAGTTGTTTAGCTTTATTAAAGAGAAAACAAAGAATATCTGAATAAATTATGTGCAGCTAGACCCAGCGGAAGACCTCACGGGTGTATGCATATAGTATACCAGTCTCTAAAGTTATTTTGCAGTCCTTTGCCTCATTTTAATGGTAGTTATTATATAATTGAATATTATTATTAATATATTATTAGAAAAACATATTAATGCCTGCAGTTGCACAACACAAGAGAGCTCGGGTGTATGTAGACCTGTGCATGTTTGCCTACTGGATGCCTCAATATGCATTGCTTTCTTGACGAATTTCTCCTTGAAAACGAATTTAAATTGCAGTTTAATTTATTTTTTACGATTTATTTTATATATAATCGAAGAGACATAAAAAATAAGGCCAGTATGACCGCTTTAGCAGCCCTTTGACTTACATTTCAGCTTCGTTCTTTTCTTTCGGTAACTCCTCCAGAAACAGCGGGAAAAAAAAGGATTTTTTGTGTTTTTACTTGATTTAGTTGCAGAAATATTATTATTTCGGTGTATGGGGACGTGATCAGCATCTTTTATTGTCTTTATTTCTATTCAATAGAACTTCTCTGTTTCTTCCTTCGCCGAGGTGTACGTACACCTCAGGCGTTTTCTTTGTTTTCTTTGTTTTCTTCGTTTGCAATGAGGAATCAGAATGGCTGACGTCTCTCCTATAGGCCCTCCCGTGCCTCGTGAGGCAATGAAAGAGCCTCTTCTCTCTGGTATAACTGCTGTTGCTGCTGCAGCTGCTCCTTCTTCATGCATCAGCAGCAGCAGCAGCAGCAGCAATGTAGGGTGTATTCGCCCTTCTGCTTCTTTTCCTGCTTCTCCTGGTGTACGTCCACATGAAGAACTACCTGCAAATACTTTCTCTTCTTTTCTTCTTCCTCTCTTTCCCCCCCCTCCTCTCGCTTATGAACAGCGCGTTCAGTCTGTAGACCTCGTTGCTGTTGCTCCTCGCCTACTCCCCTGCAGCAGCAGCAGCAGCAGCAGCAGCAGCAGCAGCTGTTTCTGCTGGCCCTGGTCTGACGCAGCAGCAGGCGAACCCCTCTTTAATTGGATATCTTTTCTGCATGCTGCAACGCAGCGGTTAGACCAGCAGGTCCCTCCCCTCCCGCAGCAACACTCTAATACCAGCAGCAGCAACAGCAGCAGCAGCAGCAGCAGCAGCAGCAGAAGCAGCAGAAGTGAGGCTGTGCATGCATTGAATTTGGTTGAGGGGCTGCGTTCAGGTGTAGCTCCGCGAGGGGAAGAAGCAGATTTAAGAGCTCTTATTCAAGCAAATGAATTAGTATATAGTGCTTTAAATAAAATAAATGCAGTGTACAGACGCATGCGCTGGTGTATATACACCTGCTTTGTTTTGGCTTTGCTGCTGCCTCCTGTGGGTTGGTTGCTGCTGCTGCTGCTGCTGCTCCGCTCTTCTTCTGCTGCTGCTCTTCTTGATGAATTTCTTACCTTCTTCATCTCGCGCTGCTGCATGCAATTGAATTTGCTGCTGTCTCCTTTGGGTATTGCTCTTTTGCTGCTAGAAGCTCCTGCTGCTCCTGCTGCTGCTCCTCTTGCTGCTGCTGCTGCTGCTGATATTGAAAGCGGGCAGCAATACAGAAGAGGAGAAGAAGATAAAATGTGGGTATTAAGGGTCTTCTTACTTCCAGATAAAAAACAACAAACAGAGCAACAGACAGCTGCCTATACACCTCAACAACAGAGGCGGGGCTGATAATAATTATAGTAGTAATAAATTATAATAGAATATAATAATAATAATAATAATAGCATATATAGTAATAATAGTAATAGCAGCAATATATAATAATATATATAATAATAATTGTAGTAATACATTTGTCTATCTTGTTTTTTCTTTGTTGTGTATTTATTTAATTTTTCTTAACAACAGAAATATATCAAAATCTGTATATTTATATTTTTTTGTCTATTTCCTTATTTATTTATTTACTTATTTAATTTATTTATTTTATTTTATTTTTTATTTATTTATTTAACCCGCTTAAATGCACTTAGGGGGGAAGAAAGAAAAAAAACAAAAAAAAACAGAAAGAAGTAATAAAAGAGAAACAAACAAAAGACGCACAGATAAAAGATAAAAATATATAAATAAACAAAAGGATATATATATATATATATATAGACATATATATATATAGACATATATATATATATATGTAATAAGAGAGAAAAATAAATAAAAGAGAGAGGGGAGTATACACAAAAATAAAGAAAAAACATTAAGATGAGACAGAAGCAAAATAAACAAAAACAATTAACAAAAGAGAAACAAATAAAACAAAGTAGAGAAATAAAAAATAATATAAATACAACAAAGACAGAAATAAAATAAAACAAAAAACAGAAGTAATATAAAACAAAGACAGAAATAAAATTAAACAAAATAAAAACAAACAAAACAAATTTATTATTTTTATTCATTACTTTCTGCTTCCTCCTTTTTTATTTTTTTGTCGCAACGGCAACAACAAACAATCACAACAAAATAAATAAATAGAGCTATGTATATTATATATATGTAAATATACATATATATATATATATATATATATATATCTGTAAATATACATATATATATGTAAATATACATATAT